AGGACTCCAATTGTGTCTAAATAGACATGAGAGTTGAAAGACCCATAAGGGGCTTCTCTCACTTTATGATGTCTTATTAGTATTATTTTTCCTTCTGGTTGATGAAATGCCAGGGTGAAAGGGATAGCCAATTGGACTAAAGTACAAGTGCCACTCCAGTTTTCAGCAGAGTGCCTAGTAAAGCTCCACCACAATACCACCACACATCCACTCAGGGATGAAAAAGGGCTGACTGATTGATAAGCTCTTGAAAATTCTTAAGCTCACTGCATCCTTTCAAGTCTCCAAGGAATGCTAAGTTTCCTCCTTGTCGTGAGAGACACGAAGTGAACTTAGTGCTGGGAGACAGAAGCTGGATGGCCCTCGGGGGCTGACCCACAGGGTCTTTGGGATATAGCAGAGAGAGCTGGGCATGACTTATTACTCCAGGCTGTAGAATCCTGGAAAAGAGCTATCATGCAGCCTACGCCTAGTCAACTGGAGGACCACCTTAGTGGAAGGGGACAACCTGGGCCTCTGGTCTGCCATGTGCACAAGCATAACAATTGCTTTTGTTTAATGTGCAAATGGAATATTTGATCAATTTTAACCAGGCATTTGCATCTTGATATCCTGTCTTAATTGCTAAAGTTTGTTTTAAGTCTTTAACTTCTATGATCCTCCAGTAAAATGAATGTGTGGTTTTAGGGAAATTACAAAAACCAGTTGGGGCAGTCCATCCTTGCTCTTTAGTGGTCCACAGAACATTGGATCAACTATGGCATGAAAGCTGTACATCGGGGTGCAACACTCCTGGTTGGCACTGGGGTCTTTATCGAAATCTCCCTGGATTAAATGGTCCTAGTTTACTAATGTCTAGTCTGAGGGGAGTCAGGAGGGACAGAAGTACTTTTCTGAAGTAGAAAGCTGTCTTTGACTTGGCAAGTCCTCACAGGGTGTAACAAAGCAAGCATTAAATGCAATAGTTTGAGGTGAAATTGACTTGGTTATATTAATAACTAGATGGTCAGTAATAGAACAAGGAAAGAAGAAAGAGTAATGGAATAGATTAAAAGAGTTAAATTTTTCTTAGCTTTAGTTTTGTAGGGTTTTCATCAGGCCTCTGAGCCCAAGCCAAGCCATCGCATCCCCTGTGACTTGCACTTATAAGCCCAGATGGCCTGAAGTAACTGAAGAATCAATCACAAAAGAAGTGAAAATGTCCTGCCCTGCCTTAACTGGTGACATTCTACCACAAAAGAAGTGAAAATGTCCGGTCCTTGTCTTTAGTGATGACATTATCTTGTGAAATTCCTTTTCTTGGCTCATCCTGTCTCAAAAAGCTCCCCAAATGGGCACCTTGTGACTCCCACTCCTGCCCACCAGAGAACAACCCCCTTTGGTTGTAATTTTCCTTTACCTACCCATTTCACATAAAACAGCCCCACCCTTATCTCCCTTCGCTGACTCTCTTTTCAGACTCAGCCCGTCTGCACCCAGGTGAAATAAACAGCTTTATTGCTCACACAAAGCCTATTTGGTGGCCTCTTCACATGGACGGACGCGCATGACAGTTTTCCCCTGGGACTATGGCCCACGACTCTGGAGGGGTTGGCGCTTTCTTGACTCGGCTGTGGTGAATCCATCTTTTTTTTTTTTTTTTTTTTTGCTGTATGAACAGCAGTCTTGGTGGTTAGCAGCACAAGGTAGGGTCCTTCCCAGGCTGGCTCAAGTGTTTTTTCTTTCCACCTTTCGATGAGAATGTGATCTTCAGGTTGGTGTTGGTTTACTGGAAATTCTAGGGGTGGTAGATGTGCTAAAAGACTTTTAGGTTGTTTTTTGTTTTTTTTTTTTTTGTGAGAAAGGAAAGTGGAAGATAAACCAAGTATATAATTTTTAAGAAATTGACCTTTTGTTTTAAATGTGGGGACCTTGGCAGCGAACTTTATAGTCCTTAGTGCCTTTTTACTGAGAAATTTCCTTTAGCACCTATTTTTATTAGTTTTTAAACCAAAGAAAACCAAATACCATTTTACATTTAACAATGCTTCTTGTATAATTTTTACACCAGATAAGCTAAATTTTATCTTTATATTAGTGTGTTATTAATGTTAAACCTAATTTTAATAAAACCTTATAGACATATTTATTTAATTTTTATGTTTGACCATAAGGTAAGATTTTACAGACTCTTTTTAATCTTTTATAATTTTTGCTAAAGAGCAGGCTGGTGCTTTAAGAAAAGCTGCTATGCTTTTACTTTAATGTCCAGTTCACAGAAAAACTGGATGATACTTCTTTAACTTTAGCTAATATGTTTACACAATGTTCTTTACAATTAACATTTTAAAACTTGCTTAAACTTTCAAAATAATAATTTTTAACTTTTTAATGTAGGTAAAAATGTACATTCTTATGCCTCCTTATAATCCTTTTACCAAAGATATATTTTGCTTTTCTTATATACCTTGCACATAAACTACTTTTTTTTTTTTTTTCAATAGTTTTACATTCAGGAGGTCTAGTTACTTTTAAATTATACAATATTTTTGCATAAATTCTTTTTTCATACATTTTTTTTATAACCTTTCTTTCCAACCCCTCCCCCACGACTTTTACCAGCAATTTCTTTTTTGACATGCCTTCATTTTCAGACTTATTACAAACATTTCTTTCTTTAAACAACCAGTTTATTTGAGGACAAGAATTTACCATATAACACTCTTTTTATATAAATTCCGCCCCCCCTTTTTTCTTTTTTTATCCGAAGATGATAACCTTTCTTTTCCAAAGTGAACCTTTTTTTTAATGTCTGTGGACTAGACTGTCTAAGGCCACAGATTAGAAGTTACTATAATACATGTCACACTGTTAACTTTTAGCAAACTTTACTTTTGTTGAAAACCTGGTAAGTTTGGGATTTTAATTATCCGTTGCTATTAATAACACCTTGTTTTGTCCAAATTAGAATTGCTACAATGGCTTTTAAAGGAACAGGGTACGCTTTTTTTTTAACTACTTATATATCTCTCTCTTTCTTTCTTTCTTTCTCTCATTGACTTCCCTTTTGCCTCTGTCTCTTCCTCTCTCTGCCTCTGTCTTTCTCTTTCTCTCTCTCCTTGACTCCTTTTTTGTCTGTCTCTTCCTCTCCATCTCTTCCTCTCTCTCTCGCTTTGCCTCTTTTCCTCTCTGTCTCTTTCCTTTCTCTCTCTCTGCTGGTCTTTCCTTGCCTCTGCCAGCCACTTATGCTGCTGTTCTCTCAACCACTGTGTGTTGGGGGCGGGGGATCTAAAACAAGCTGGTCTGGGTTCCCTGGCTTACAGGTTACCTTCTGCCATACCTTTGAAACAAGGGACCTGTCCATGCTTCCTTCTAATGGCCGACCTACCTCTAATGCTGGCCAGTCTATCTTATACAAAGTTTTAAGTTTTTCTGGTGTCATAGTACTCCATAGTCTCCCATAAATCCTTTTTTTGAAATTTTTCAACATGGTTCCTAGTGCGGTGGGCTTACTTTGTGCCTCACCCATGTTTCCTCTAGACAAAACACCACGCTCACAACACATGCACACCACAAAACAAAAAACGGGTAAAAACAGCACACACACACTTTTGTAGTTTACACCAAACCAAAATCTGGGTATCCAGAAACCCAAGCCAGGTCAAAACCAAAACCAAAGTGTCAAGCAATCCAAGTCAAGTCAAAAACAAAAACCAAAGTGCCGATACAGGCACACCGTGGGTGATCAGGCCACGCTCCCACTCAAATGGAGTAGGCAAGTTCCCAAGACCAGTCCTGTCAAGCAATTCAAACCAAGTCAAAACCAAAACCAAAGTGCCAATAAAGGCACACCATGGGTGATCAGGCCACACTTCCACTCAAACGGAGTGGGCAAGTTTCAAAGACTAGTCTTACCAAGTTTCAGATGCTCAGACTCCAAGTCCCCATTCCTTCCCGGTGTTCAGCGACTGCGTTGATCCTGCTTGGGGGCCTGCCACACACTGCTCTGGTGAGGCGTTCCACAGGGGCAAATGCCTACCCGGGAGCCCTCTCAGGATCCGCGTGGATTGGGCTGGTCGGAGTCCTCCGCAGGGATGTTCCACAGGGCAGGCTTAAGCCGCCTAAGGAGCTGCCTACACCATCCACCATTCACCTCACTTCCCGGTCAGGGAACAAAGAAAGTAACAGGAGGAGCGGCAGACAAAACTCCTCAGACACCGATTTACAGAAGGAAGGGGTTTATTCGGCTGGGGGCATTGGCAAGACTTCAGTCTCAAGACCCTAGCTCCCCAAGGAACATAAAAAGGGCAATTCCTGTCCCTTTTACGGGCTCATAACTCTAAGGGGGTGCATGTGAGAGGGTCGTGATTGATTGAGCAAACAGAGGGTACATGACTGGGAGTTGTTTGCACCGGTAATTAGATCAGAATGAAACAAGATAGGGATTTCACAGTACATTTCTATACAATGTCTGCAATCTATAAGATAACAGAACCAATTAGGTCAGGGGTCCATATTTAACTACCAGGCCCAGGGTGCGGAGCCGGGCTGTCTGCCTGTGGATTTCATTTCCGCCTTTTAGTTTTTACTTCTTTCTTTGGAGGCAGAAATTGGGCATAAGACAATATGAGGGGTGGTCTCCTACCTTATCGTTATTTCTGATTACTGGGGATGTTAACTTTGATCACTGGGCTAAAGTTCCTCCACTGCAAAATGACACTTTTCCTTGAAAGCATTTTTAAACAACCAATCCTTGGACGACACCGCACATCAGCCAAATCAGATACACTTGAGGGATGGTACAGGCATTGGTAGGCTTTAAACGCCCTATAAGTGACTGTAATCAGTATCCAGAATTGTAAACCTATGGCTTAGACAGTGAAGATTAGAATCCTGAAAATCAGCTAGGAGACCATTCCTAAGGCTTCTCTTTAAAAAAAATCTAATTCTAAACAAAAGCAAATACATGTGGATTTTGGCATGGACATATGGTAGAGAAATAGAGGAAAAATAGAAATCACCTGATGGGGAAAGAGATGAGTGAGTAGACTGCAGTCCAATTTGAAGAAAAAAAAAAAAGGCACAATCAGGTGTGATGACACTTGCTTGTAATTCCAGGATTTTGGGAGGGAAAGTGGGTAGATCACTTGAGCCCAGAAGTTGGAGACCAGCCTGGGATATCACCAGCCTGGGTGAAACCCCATCTCTAGAGAAACAAACACAAAAAATTAGCTAGGCATGGTGGCACGTGCCTGTGATTCCAGCTCAGGAGGCTGAGACAAGAGTATTGCTTGAGTTCACAAGGTTGAGGCTACAGTCAATTATGATCTCGCCACTGCACTTCAACCTGGGTATGAGAGTGACACACTCTCTCTTAAAAAAAAAAAAAAAAAAACAGTAAAAATAATGTTCTAAGGTCACATCTAGTACAAAAACTGCACCTTTTCTGTGATGTTTTAGATGCCATACTTAAAATACAACTGGAGGTGTTTCCATATGAATAGCTGAAGATTCTCTACTTTTAATGCAACTGCATCATATTCTATGTGTAGATACAAGTAATCTGTTAGAAGCATCGTTCTGGTAAAAGTATAGGTTGTTCCCAATATTTTGCTGTTAGACAAACAATACAGTGAATAACCCTGATTAGGCATCATTTTTCAATGACTGGTAGTGTGATAAATTTTTCCCAGTAAAGTTGGAAGGCAAAAATATATAATTTTAAAATTTTGACATGCATCGAGAAATTTTACTCTATAAGGTTTGTACATATTTTTATGTTCCAAGAAAAGTAGGGAGGGTAATATCACCTCAGTTGCTCTCACACAAATGTCCTGAGTGACAGGACTTGTAGGACCCAGGCATACAGCCATTATCCCTGGTGCCCACACAGGGCAGGGGCATCTGGATCCTGGAAGCTCCAGGAAAGGTGAGAATCCCCTCTAGAGGACACCCTGCTGAGGATCAGAAAGGGGTTAAGGAAGTCCAGAGTTTACAGCAGGTCTTAAACTAAGGGAAAGTTCAACGGAGGGCACAAAGGTTCAAGGAGGTGAGAAAGTGGTAGAGACTGATGGAGGGGGAAGGTAAAAAGCTCCAGGGAAGCTAGGGGAAGCACATCAGGGCTCTCCACTCAACTTCAGCATTGAACTTTGTAGTGGTCTTGCTGTTGGTGCTCTGTGAACTCTAGAATGTTCAGCACTATCTGGGGACTCTACCCCCTCAAGGCCAGCAGGACTCCCTCCCCCAGCTCTGACAACCAGCAATGTCTCCAGACTTTGCCAATTGCTTTTCCGAACGCAAAAATTGCCCCTGGCAGATGCATTAATCTACACTAATCTATAAAAGCAAATCACCACTAAAATCCATCACCTCCTGGTAGAAGAATTACAAGTGTGAGAGGGGTAAAATGGAGGTCTTCAATATCTATTGAAATGACCTTTACTTAATCAGCAATTTGATGTCCCAGAAGGCATGTTTAGAGGTGATGTCGCATGGCTGCCTGTACCTCACAGCAGAAAGGGTGTGGGTTATCCAAGGGTCTGTAACCATGAACTGGAAATGTCTGTAACTGTGAAAGGGAATGACACACACTGGGTTATTTTAAAAAATTGATGTAGGGAATTCTGTAGATATTGGGAGAAAAAAATACACAATGTAAACCCAAACCCCATTCTGATTCTCTCACCATCTTAGGGCCATCTTGTCTGTCTTTGAATGGTAGCATAGGGATTTTTGTATATTTTCAAAACTGTATACTGTTGGATCATTTTTAAAATATGAATAAATCCCAAACTGGATCAAGTAAGTGGACACTGCTGGAGTCTCACTTTTGACCAGGAGAGCTGACAACATCCTGCTCCCCCTGGCCTGGACACTGTCTGGCTCAGGGGACTAAATGCTCTCTTATTATGGAGAAAGATGTTTTGAACATTCATCATTCACTCATTCACCTCTCACACCCGTTGACCTCTCAAACCTCTTCCCCACTCGTGGATTTCATTCTCAATTTACTGAGCTCCATTTCTGTCCCTCATCCATTTCAACATGTGGTGGGTCCAGGTGGTGGCTTCTGCCCATGGTTTTGTAAAAAACAAAAAAACAAAAATAAAAATAAAAAAGACTTTCAAAACTGCTTTGCCGGACACCCCCCTTCAACTGACCTCCACCTGCAGCACCATGATCATACCAGCAGAATTTCAACACTTTTTCTGGTAGTCAAATGCTTTCCATCTCTCATTAGGAAACGTGACTCTCTCCACGCTGCATAAACATTTCCCAGTAGAAATGAACACAGAGATACTGCCTGTGTGATCCCAAAGGAAATGGTTTCTATAAGAACATGTGAAAGCTGCAATTATAGAAAAGACCACCTAAAACATACATTATGTAGATGATTCTCACCATTCCTTTAAGCGATACATTGTAAAACATGACATTAATACTTATTCTAGAAGAATAAAGCATGCATACTGTTTTCTTAAATTAATTTTAATAAGGTGGTTCCTCCCACGTGCCCAGGCTGGGCATCTGAACAAAATTCTCCATCTTCAGGGGCAATGCCTGAGAGCATGATATGGACTTAGGCCTGATATGCAGCCATCCCTGTCCACCGTGTCCCTGCTGCAGGACAATACCAGCCCAGGGCCCAAATCTCCTACTGAAGAGCTGAGAGAGAAAATGGAATATCCAAAGCCTCTTAGCTTTCCCGAGTCCACTGGAATGGTTACCAGTGCAGTCCATTTGCCCCTGAGGACACCCACCTATTGGTCTTTGGCTTCTAAGAGTCACACCTCACTGGCTTCTCTGGGTCTCAGCTGCTTTCACTCTGCTGAGCCCTGCTCTTTCACATGGGGCTCACTCCCCTGCAAGGCATGTCCTCCAGCTCCAGCTGACAGGTCAGCCAAACCAGAACCAAGAGAATGAACAAAGACTTCTATATCTAGTATGTCCAGCAGAGAACCAAACTGTACAAAAAATAAAGAAGTAGAGATGAACACAACTCCCCTGACAACATTGTGTCCCAAAGCAATGTCTTCTGTGCTCCTCATTAAGGAGCTCACTGTCCCTCAAATAAAGGTGCAGAAACAACTAGGTAACCACATGCGAGACAATAAACTTAGAGAACTGTATTTCCAACCATATCAAACAATTATCTAAAAATGGATCAGTGAGTTAATTATAAGATCTATAACCATAAAAACATCTTAGAAAAAGACATAGGGGTAAAACTTAATGACCTCAAATGTGCCATGGATTCTCAGGTATGACCCAAATACATGAGAAAGAAAAAGGAAAAATAGATAAATTGGGCTAAAGATGCAAGCCTTTTGTGCATCAAAGATATTATCAAGAAAATAAAAAGACCAAACACAGAATGAGACATAAAAGTTGCAAATCACATAGACAATGATTTCATGCCCAGAATAGATAAAGAACTGCTACAACTGGATAACAAAAAGACAAACCACCAATTTATATAAATGGGCAAAGGACGCAAATAGACATTTCCGCAAAGAAGATATGTAAATCATCAAGAGGGATATGAAAAGAAACTCAACATCATAGTCATTAGGAAAATACAAAGTGAAAGCCACAAGGAGATACCACACTACACCTACAAATATGGCTACCATTCTTTTCACATGTTAAATAACAAGTGAAAGCCTTATGCAGAATTTGGAATCCTCATACATTGCTGGTGAGATTATAAAAAGGTACAGCCACTAGGAGAAACAGTTGTGCTGTTCCTCAAGAAGATAATCATAGAATTCTCATATAAAAGAGCATCCATTCCTAGGTATGTACCCAAAGAATTGAATGCAGGAACTCAAATAGATACTCGCATGAGACTGTTGATTGCAGCATTACTCATAAAAGATAAAATATAAAAACAATCCAAGTGTTCATCAACACATCAATAAACAAATGTGGTGACACATACAACAGGATGTAAATCTGCCATAAAAAGGAAGGAAGCTCTGACATCCGCTGGAATATACATGGACTTTGGAAACACTATGCTAAGTGAAATATGTCAGAAAAGAAATAACATATATATATATATATATATATATATATAATTCCATTTACATGAACCATCTAGAATAGGCAAATTCATAGAGATAGAGTAGAGATGATCAAGGTCTAGGGTGGAAAATACACGGAGTTATTATTGTTTCAATGATACAAAGTTTCAGTTTAAAATGACAAAAATTTTCTATGAAAAACAGTGTTGATGGGAACTTAACACTGTGTATGTGGTTAATTCCACTTGATTGCACATTTCTGTGTGTGTCTCTTTTGTGTGTATGTTTGTGTTTCTGCACATAGTGTGCATCGAGGTTTGGTGACAGAATCACTGCTGAAAAAGGCAGAGGCCTCCACAATTCCCAAGGACCTGACACACAGACAAAAGGTAAAAGAGAAGGAGGGACAAGGAGGCAGGACTGAGAGGGGCGGGGACAGAGAGGTGCCCTGGGAACAGACCCCACCCATGAACCAGAGAAGTGCTCCTGCCGCGGGAAGAGGCTCAGCACAGAAGGAGGAAGGACAGCACAGCTGACAGTCGTGCTCAGAAAGATTCTGGATCCCAGGCTCATCTCCACGGAGAACACACAGGCAGCACAGACCATGGGGGCCCCCTCAGCCCTTCCCTGCACACTGCACATCACCTGGAAGGAGCTCCTGCTCACAGGTGAGGAGAGAACTTCCTGGGAGAGGACAGGAGGAGGAAGCAGAATGATTGGATGGGGTCTCCTGGAGAGTATGGGGTTCTTTAAAATGAAAGTCAGCACTTTGGGAGGCTGAGTTGGGTGGATCATGAGGTTAGGAGTTCAAGACCAGTCTGTTCAACACACTGAAGCCCCGTCTCTACTAAAAATACAAAAAAATTAACCAGGTGTGGTGGTGTGCTCCTGTAATCCTAGCTACTTGAGAGGCTGAGGCAGGAGAATTGCATCAACCCAAGAGGCAGAGGTTGCAATGAGCGGAGATTGTGCCACTGCACGCCAACCTGGCTGACAGTAAGAGACTCTGTCTCAAAAAAAAAAAAAAAATTCAGGATAGAAGGCTCTGTTGGAGCCTGGATAGGGAAAAATATACGCAAGAGGGACAGGGGTCAAAACAGGAAAATCACATTGAACCAGAATTGGTAAGAGGAAGGAAAATCTCAAGTGTTCTTGTTTCCTGGTTAATCATCACTGGACACTACATTTTGAAAAATGATAATAATAACTATTATCAGATTGCACTTCAAATGAAAATGTAAGCAGGGCATGAAACATTGTCCTCAGCAAAAACCTCAACAATTGAGGAAAGAAAACAAAATAGCCCTGGCATGGAGGGCCCTTGGAACCCTCACATCTGCAAGAGTCTGCAGCCTGTCCCAGGCACTGGGGTGCAACCAAGATCATAAAAGTCCCTGTACTCAGGGAGCTCATGCTCTCATAGGGAGGAAGACAGACATGCAAAGAGATCTAGAATGTGAGGTCAGGTGTTGACAAGAGCTCCGGAGGGAGCAGAGCAGGGAAATGTCCGAAAGGGAAGACCCAGAGTCTCTGAAGGAGGTATCAGGAAAGAAGTCTAAGGATGCCCTGATGTGAGCAGGACCTGAGGGCAGTGTGGAGGGAGCCGTGCAGACCTCTGGGGAAGAGAATTCCAAACAGAAAAATACCGAGGTCAGAAGTGTTGAAGGAATGGGGTCATGCCACTGACCTTCACCCAGTAGGACAGTAGGATAGTAGGACACAAACACACAATCACACACAAACACACAAAAAGAGGTATGTGTGGATTTTGTGTGTGTGTGTGCGTGTGTGTCTTCAAGGCTGATGACTGAAGAGATCTTCTCAGGACGCATGGCCCCATCTTTTCACCCCAATACATAGGTCTCTATATTGACTGATGCTCTCTCCACCTACTAGCATCACTTTTAATCTTCTGGAACCCGCCCACCACTGCCCAAGTCACAATTGAAGCTGAGCCAACCAATATTTCCGAGGGGAATGATGTTCTTCTACTTGTGCACAATTTACCCAAGAATCCTGCTGCCTACATCTGGTACAAAGGGCAAATAATGGACCTCCAAAATTACATTACAGCATATACAATAGACACTGAAAGAATTATATTGGGGCCTGCATACAGTGGACGAGAAAGAGTATATTCCAATGCATCCCTGCTGATCCAGAGTGTGAACCAGAAGGACGCAGGATCCTACACCGTAAAAATCATAAAGCGAGGTTACAGGACTGAAGGAGTAACTGGACATTTCACCTTATATGGTGAGTGATTCCACATGATCCCTGGGTGTTGGGGGGCGGGGTCACTTCTACTTTGCACACACAGGATGGTCAGGCCTGGACTGTGCCTGTGTCCCTCTCTGCATTATGTCCCATGTTTGGGTTTTGGTATTTAGTGCAGGACACACACAGAGGAGACAAACTTCAACAGATCAGAATTCCTTTCCTGCCTCCAGACCCTGTAGACACTTGCTGCACAGGAAGGACAGTCTGATGGTGGGGGGGGGTACTCAGCAGGAGGAGATCAGCCTCAGACAAGCACCTCATGCCCTCTTCATAAACTTGACCCTGAGAAAGACCCTGGAGAAGTGAGTAGGGCTTTGCCAAAGAGGACCCCTGAGATACTCTCAGAGCAGCTCAGCCCAAGAAGCCTCAACCCCAGACCCCGTCCCTAAATCCTTACTCCAGATAAAGCTGAGAAGCTTGTGTCACTTCTGGGTTGTGGCAGGGCTTACTGGGACAAAGGATTCACCAGCTGTCTGACGACTGTGTCTCCTGGAGCTGCTCACTAGCCAGGGCTCAGCCCTCAGAACCTCATCTGGTCAAGGACAGAGCTTTCTTCACCTGACACTCAGAGTGGAGAGGACAGAAAGGCAAGCTTTGTAGGCCATCAGCCAACTGCCTTGTGGGGCTTAGGACACTCCATAGATAGTCTAATGTCCCCAGAAGCAGAAACAGAAGACAGAAAATGTACCTGGCAGCAGCTTGTCCACAGAGAGCTGACCTAAAGGTGCTCTCTCATGGAAGTGAATAACAATAAATGCTGTTTGTGTGAACACCTCCACTGTGCCAAGCATTAGGTCCGATGACTGTGAAGAATTTACAATTTATTCACAGATAGCATGAAAACCCACAGTCCATTTGCCATTTAGCTTATTTGACTGAGAGAAAACTGAGGCACAGGAAGGCACAGTCACTGAACCAGAGTCACACAAACACAAAAGGCAGATCAGGGTCACATGAGGTCTGTCTGCAGCCACAGGCCCATCCTCTCCTCCACCAGAAGTGAGGGCTTATTGGATTCCAATGACCCTGTAGTAATTTATTGGCTCAAATCCTCTCTTCTTAGGCATCCAAACCTCAGAGGAGTGAGAGCAAATGGTCAGCTGATTAGTCTGCACTCCAGAACTAAATCACCAGTCTCAACCATCAGAGTCAGTACAAAAAATGTCCAGGCGTCCCCCTCAGATCTTAACCCCTATCACTGAACCTGAAATCCTATGTTTCCCATAGTGTCCATGTCACTGGCATGACAGGATAAAGGAGAGGACCTTGTTTTCATTCCCCACTCACACCCTGCACCAGCTCAAGTCCAGTGAGAGACACACCCTCAGGTGCTCTCACATAACAAATGAAGGAATTGAATGAAGGAATGAACGATCCATAACCTCTTTAGAGACTGGATCTTGGATGCAGAATCCTAGGAATTTCTCGCCACACCTGTCCCTTGTCCTTCAGAGGCTGACACCCATGTTTCATCCCCCCACTTCCTCTTGCCCCTAAAGTCATCCCACTTCATGTGTTACTCTGAAGCTCTTTGGCCACTGGAGGGTTTTCAGGGCTCCCTGGTCCTGGACTGTGGAAACGGGAGCACCTGGTCCCTGGGGTCACTGAAGTCACTGTAGGCCCCACTGTTCACTGCCATGCTGTCTCTGCCTCTCTCTGCTTCTCTGTGTCCCTCATCTTCCTCCCGCTTCATTCTAACTGGCAAGCCCTGTCCTGCACAGCTTCTTCCTCCACCCCTAGGCCTTCCCCAGACACTCCCTCTAACTAGGCTGACTGTTCAATTCCCTTCCTGCTAACACTGTGACCTGGCCCACCTCCCAGGAAATAGGAAAGGCACAGAAATCAACTGGAGTTGCCACTCCTGAAAAGCTTCATCTCAAGCCAATGTCCCCAGGTCACTAAGAGAATGATCTTCCACTGTATCCCCATCCAGGGATCTTTCCCTTTGTGAGGCTGATCTGTGGACAAGACCGTGGGACAGGGATAGGCAGCTCCTCCATCCACTCTTATAATTCCCAAACAAGTTCTTCTGGCCTCCTGCACAAAAAAAACCCACAATTTATCCCGATGGTGATTTGCAGTAAAGAAAGATTTTAACGAGTCCAAGTCTGCCAAACAGGAGGACAGAGGTTTATTATTACTTAAATCAGCCTCCCTAGTGGATCACGGGTTAGAGATTTTCAAGGATAGTTTCAGGGACACAGGACGAAAAAATGGGTACTGCTGATTGTTTGATGATGGAATCATGCGGGCGGAGGGAAATGATCCCTTTGTGCTTGAATCCGCCTCTAGGTGGGGACCGCGTAACTGACTGAGCCATTAGTCATGGATATGGATGAGGTCAGCAGGTTGCCAGAATGCAAAGAATAAGAAACATCTCAAAAGACCAACCTCAGGTTCTACAATAGTGATGTTATCTATTGGAACAATTACTTACAAATTTTGTACACTCTGACCAAATGACATTTGAGCAGTAAGAGATTGTGGAAACTGTGCCTGCACTTTAGCAGAATTCAGTTCCCTCCTATAATCTTACTCTCATGGTTTTTCACCAGTTTTACAAAGGCAATCCCTGGGCAAAATAAGGGTATTAGTTTTATCGAGGAACTATTATCATTGTTTCTTCAAAGTTAAACCATAAACTACATTCCTCCCATGGTGAGCCTGGCCTATGTCTAGGAATGAGTGAGGACAGCCAACCTGAGACTAGATTCCAGATGGAGTCAACCGTGCTAATTTTGTGTCACTGTTGGAATCGTTGCACTGACTCACCAGAGAGTCAGAGGCTGGACAGGCCTGCAGTCTCCAAAGCCAATGGGCTTATTTCACCCATTTCACTTGTGACTCCATCCTCAGCCTACCATGGAGCTCACATTCTCCAGTCACTTCCTAGAGACTTCTGGTTTCCCATCAGGCATACGACAAGCTTGAAATTTGTCACTCTGTTCTAACAGTAAGTAAACAGCTGAACAAACTCAAAAGTCAACAACCCATTGAAATCCCTCAGAGATGGCCTGGCACAGTGGCTCACGCCTGCAATCCCAGCACTTTGGGAAGGTGAGGCAGGTGGATCACGAGGTCAGGAGATCGAGACCATACTGGCAAACACGGTGAAACCCCAACTCTACTAAAAATACAAACAAATAGCCAGACGTGGTGGCAGGCGCGTGTAGTCCCAGCTACACGGGAGGCTGAGGTAGGAAAATGGTGTGAACCCCGAAAGTGGAGCTTGCAGTAAGCCAAGACCGTACCACTGCACTCTAGCCTGGGCAACAGAACGAGGCTCCGTCTCAGAAATTTAAAAAAAAAAAAGTGCTGTTACAGAAATGAAGAACGCTTTTGAAGCTTACTGGTAGAATGCACACAGCTGAGGAAAGAATGCCTAGCTTGAGGATGTGTCAATAGAAACTTCCAAAACTGAAACAGGAAAGTTCAAAAAGAGTGGGGGAAAAAAGTGGGACAACATATTCTACTTCATATTTAACATTTTGTATTGACAATAGCAATTTTTAAATTTTGTAGTTGTGGGACAACTACCAAGGCTGTAACATACACCTAATGGGAATACTGGTGGTGTCGGGGACCTGTTGGAGGTGGCCAGAGGTTGCTATCTGATGGTTTTACTGCCTGTGCCACATATGATTGTTTCCTTCTGATGATGCCATTTTCATAAGTTGGTGTTGTTCGTGTGGGGGACACATGAACCATTGGCGACTCACTTAGAGTCTTCCTAATTCACACAAACTTAAACTCTAGTTGTACTTCCTGAGGTTAAGAGAAAATGAAGAAAGCGTTTCACATACCTGTTTTGGGCTCCTCCCCATTTTTCCTAACTCTGCACAGAAATTAGAAACAGGGAGTTCTTTCTATATTTACTAACATAACACACATCACTTCTTTTAATTCGGCATCATTCCTCCCTTTATGTAATTGACACACTGGCCAGTTCTGTCCTTTTAACGGGACTCTTTCTACTTAAGGACTTGCTAATTTCAAATCACCTTTGGCATCTTTCTTTGAGCATAATTTGATCCTGCTGGAATTCACCCCACACCTAAACCTTAATTGGGTATCAAGAGAAATACTACTACCAGCAATTGATCTTAGATGTTTGAACCATCAGTTAAAATTTCCACTTATGACAACATTTTAAACTTTCCTCCAAAATTTTTTTTGGGTCTTGTTACTAGAGTCAGAATATAACATGAGGTCTAAACTCCTGACAACTTTTTAATGGGAAAATTACAGTGTTACAAATTGAGCATCCCACATCTAGAAATCCAAAATCTGAAATGCTCCAGAATCCAATGCTTCTGACCACTGATGTGATGCTGAAAAGCTGCTCTCACTGGAGCATTTTGGATTTCAAATTTTTCAGATTTGGGATGCTAAACCAGTAATCTATGCAAATATTCCAAAAAAAAAAAGAAGTTAGAAATCCAAAACACTTGGTTTTAAACTTTCTGCATAAGGAACACTTTATCTGTATGAACTATAGGCATGAAGCTGCACAGGAGATTCTAGAACCTCCTCAACCTGCCTAACTGAAACCACACAGCCATGGAACAATACCCTATTCCCCCGACCCCAGCTCCTGGAAACTACTATTCTACTCTCTGATTCCCTCTGGAATCCACTGAGATGAAGTACATTGAGTAGTCAAACTCATAGAATCAGAAAGTAGAATGGCTAATGACAGAAAGTATCTGCAAGACTTCTTCCCAAATATTGGTCTAATAGCCACCAAACACATATCGTCCGTGAAGGCCAGACTTCCATCATCAGTTCATGTTCGCCCTTTCCACCAGTCAGTTCTCCATTTTCAGACATCCACATGTATTTCTAGAAACAACCAGATGGTCCTCACCTTCCCTCTACAGGGGCAAGGGAACATCATGGACACAAAACAGGGAACATGGTCCTGGTCCAAAGCTATCAGCTCTTGCCTGTCCCCATCACTCTTTGTAGGTCATTCCTTGGACTCTACTCTATCTTTAGAGGTCACTGGCTCAAGTCAGTCACTATGAGACAGCTGCGAAAACTGCCCCACCTTGTGGCGCCACTGCCTGATGACTGCACTGACCCCCAGGCTTGACTCTGGTCTCCCCTGTGTTTTTTCTGCTGAAGTACCCAGTCCCAGGCCAGGCTTCCCAGTACCCAAAGGGTTTAAGGACAATGAGAAGTTCTATCATCCATCTCTAGATTTTTTTTTTTTTTTTTTTTTTTTTTTTTTTTTTTTTTTTTTCTTCTAGGATGTTCTTGAAAGGGAAGCTGGCAGATAAAACATATCTGGGGGGGTAAAGTAATACTGAAACTAAGAAGATTCCAGCACTGCATGCTCCAGGTGAGGACCACAGGGTGGGCCAGGCAGGCAGTTGGAGAGGGAGGGACTCAGAGGGGCACTAGGGGCTGTGACTGCTGGTCCCATGCCTTTCCATGACCCAATACTGCTGCTCAATTCACACTTGAGAAAGTCTGTGCTTCTCTCATATAAAGCAGGCAGCCTCACAATCTCTGAGCCCTCAGATTGCCATGCATCTGTCTTGTAACACACACACCTGATATGGGCTTTTAAGGACTTGGGTGGGCTGAAAGGTGGGAAATGCCATCTCTGATTGAAAAATGTCTTTGGAGGAATCAAAGGTGCCACACAGGGCAATCTTCTCTCTGTTATCTGCACAGTGGAGACTCCCAAGCCCTACATCTCCAGCAGCAACTTAAACCCCAGGGAGGGCATGGAGACTGTGACCTTATCCTGTTATCCTGACACTCCGAACGCAAGCTACCTGTGGTGGATAAATGGTCAGATCCTCCCTATCAGTCCCAGGTTGCAGCTGTCCGAAAACAACAGGACCCTCATTCTATTTGGTGTCACAAAGCGTACTGCAGGACCCTATGAATGTGAAATGAAGAGCCCAGTGAGTTCCAGCCGCAGTGACCCAGTCACCCTGAATCCTGTCTGTGAGTATCTTCTGTTCCTCTGTGAGCCAGGCTGCCATCCCAAATACACATGGCCAGAGGCCAGGCCTCCCAGTCCCTCTCAGGTGCAAGTACAGAGACCTTTACCCCTGGACATCAAAGTTGGCCATGACCACAAAGAGTAGCCTTAGGCTTGACCAAGAATGGGAGAGAAGAGGCTGCTCCTGTCATGGGAGATTCAGGGTCCACAGGTTATGATGGGAGAAGTAGGTGAATGTCTCACGCTCCAGATCAGTGAACACAGCAGGGATTTGGCTGGGACTTCAGTGTTGTAACTTAGCTCACAGGGTCACTGTGGCCCTTCCACAGACCAAGATTTTCCCTTCCCTCTGAAAACATCAGCTGTGCCTTTATTCTCTTTGCTCCAGATGGCTTGGATGATCCCACCATTTCTTTTTCGTACACCTGTTAGCACACAGGGGAAGTCCTCAAGCTCTCCTGCCTCACAGACTCTCACCCACTGGCAGAGCTTTCTTGGCTGATTGATGGGAAGTTCCAGCAATCAGCACAAGTGTTCTTTATCCCCAAATCACTAAAACATGTAGAGGAGTCTATGTCTGTTTCATACATAACTCAGCCACTTTTGGAACAAATCTCATAATCCAGAGGATCATAGTCCCTGGTAAGTGGGTCCCTGGGGCACTGGCAATGTGTTTTCCAGTGAAGCCTATCTGGCTATCAGGGAAGAGTCACCTGCCCTCTGCAAAGGGAGAGGGAAAATCTAAAACCCAGATCAGGGAATATGATTCTGCTTGAAAACCACCAGCTTTTGCCTGTCCCCTTCACTCTTTCTATATCATTCTTTAGACTATACACTAACAATGAACAATGTGAAAGGAAATTAAGAAAAGAATTTCCATTCACATTAACATCAAAAGGAATGAAATATTTTGGAATAAGTTTAACCAAAACTGTCTAAGGGTTATACCTTGAAAACTACAGAGCGTTACTGAAAGACATTAAAGACAACATCAGTACATGGAAAGACATTTCATTTTCACAGATTGGAAGAATCAATATTGTTAGGAAGACAATACTACCCAAAGTGAGCTGCAGTTTCAAAGCAACACCTACCAGAATCCCAGTAACATTTTTTCCAGAATTACATAAACCTGTCCTAAATCTGACCTGACAGGCTCTTAATGACTGCCACAACACAGAAACTGAGGAAAAGATGCAATCATGGAAACGTGGAAAGATTTGATGACGTAGAAAATAGCAATCATTATTTCTCACATCCCAAAGCCTTCAAGAATATACAAGTGCCGCATGACCACTACGGAATCGACCAAAAACTAATCACCAAGCTAGAAACGTGGTGAGAGAAAAAAAGAAAAAGAAAAAAAAAGGCAGGAAAGTATTTGGCCTATCACTTCCCACTTTTGCATACTTAACTGATGCTGAAAACAAATATGAGCATTTTAGGTTTTGAATCTTTCCGATTTGGGATGCTACCCCAGCAAGTATGTGACAAACGTTTCAGAATCAAAAAATGTCAGAAATCCAAAACACTTTTTGTCCTAAGTCTTATGCATAAGAAACACTCAATCTGTGTGAACTATAGGCATCGAGCTGTACAGCAGATCTCTAGAACTTCCTCGTCTTGCATAACAGAAACTGCACGCCCACAAAAAACTTCTGATTCTCCCCACTCCCAGCATCTCTCTTCTCAAATTCACTCTGGAATTCACTTACATGAGGTCCCTAGAGTAGTGAAACCCATGGAATCAGAGAGGAGAGTGTCCAATGGAAGAAAATATTAGCAAAACTTCTCCCCAAATTTGTCTCATATACATCAAACACACATAGTACATGAGGACCAGATTTCCAGAAGTTCATTCCCACCCTTTCCACCAGTCAGTTCTGCATTTGCAAAGGTCCACATGTGTTTCTGGAAAGATCCACATAGTCCTCACCTGTCCTCTGCAGAAGGAGAGGAAACTTAAAGAATCCAGAATAGGGAACATAGTTCTGCTCCTAAGCCACCAGCTATTGCCTGTCCCCTTCACTCTTTCTAGATCATTCCCTGCACTCTGCTCTGTCTTTGGAGGTCACTGGCTCAAGTAAGTCATCATGAAACACCTGCAGAAAACTGCCCCACCTTGTACCTCCACTGCCTGATGACTGAACTGACCTCCAGGCTTGACTCTGGTCTCCCCTGTCTTATTTCTGCTGAAACATCCAGTCCCAGGCCAGGCTGCTCAGTATCTTCAGGATTTCAGGACAATGGGAAGTCCCATTATTACTCATCTCTAGAATGTCCTTGGAAGTGGAAACTGCAGAGAAATCATATCTGGGGGGCAAAGTAAGATGGAATTTGGAAGGGGCCCAGCAGTTGCACATTCCAGGTAATGAACCCAAGGTGAGCCAGCAAGACAGTTGATTAGAGAGGGACTGGGAGGGGTACCAGGGGCTGTGGGTCCCACTGACCTGTCTGTCCATGACCCAACACTGCTGCTCAATTCACACTTGAGAAAGTCTGTGCTTCCCTAAGACAGAGCAGGAGGCCTCAGAGTCTTTGAGCCCTTAGATCATCATGCATCTGTCTTGTGACACACGCACCAGCTACTGACTTTCAAGGACTTGAGTGGGCTGAGAGGTGGGAGATGCCAACTCTGATTGAAGGATGACTATGGAGGCATCAAAGGTGCCACACAGGACAATCTTCTCTCTGTTATCCACACAGCGGAGCTGCCCAAGTCCTACATCACCAGCAACAACTTCAACCCCATGGAGAATAAGAATGTTGTAGCATTAACTGTGAACCTAAGACTCAGGGCTACACCTATGTGTGATGGGTAAATGGTCAGAGCCTCCTGGTCAGTTCCCAGGTTAAAGCAACCCGGTAAAAACAGTATCCTCATTCTAGCAAATGTCACAAGAAATGACACAAGACCCTATGAATGTAAAATACGGGATCGAGTTGGTAGCATCCCCAGTGACCCAGTCACCCTGGAGGTCCTTTGTATCTTTGGTTCCTCTGTGGACCAGGCCACCAGCTAAAATCCAAACGACCAGAGGACAAGCATCTCAGTCTCTCTCACGTCCAAGTACAGACACTTTTATTTCTGGACACCCGAGCTGGCCATGACTCCCTGCCCTGGGAAAACCTGGGTAGGCACAGCCTTAACCAAGAATATAAGGTGAGGAGATACTCTCATCATGGGAGACTTGGGGTCTGCATCCTGTGATGGGAGAAACAGGTGAATACCTCAGGCCTCGACTCAGTGAACACAGGAGCGGTTTGGCTGGGCCTTAAGCGTGTGTCTTGGCTCAGAGGGACACTGGTGTCTTTAAGAGACCAGGAGCATCTCCTTCCCTCAGACGACATCACCTGTGGCTTTATTCTCTTTACTCCAGATGGTCCAGACAAACCCAGCGTTTTGTCTCCAGTCAAGTATTACTACTATACAGGAGAAAACATCCACTTGTACTGCTTCGCGGACTCTAACCCACCGGCAGAGTATTCTTGGACGATTAATGGGAAGTTTCTGCAATCAGGACAAGAGCTCTATATCCCGCATATTACTACAGAGCATAGTGGGATCTATGGTTGCTCTGCTCGTAACTCAGTCACTGGCAGCGAACGTTCCACATACAAGAGGATCAAAGTCTCTGGTAAGTGGATCCTGCATCATTGGCAATAGGGTTTTAGGTAGAGTCTCTATGGCTTTCTGAGAAGAGTCAGGAAAACATTTTTTATTCCCAGCTTGTGTCCCATGGGCAGAAGCAAATCCTAAATTCTCCTCTTGAACCCTCCCAATTTGTCTCTACAGACTCTCTTCTCCTTGTGTTTCTGTTTTCTCATGGCTGAACTTCAGTCCAGGCTGAGAAAGGTTGGGAGGGGGCTTTGTCAGTCCTGAGCCCGATGTGGTGGAAGAGGCTTCACAGAGGGACAAGAAGGAGAGTCCTCAAGGTCAAGATTTTTCTCACTGTCACCAACACTTCCCTTTCCACCACGTCTTTGTTTTCTTTTACTACTCCATGAACTTCAAGGAACATCTAAGGTTTGAAACAAGCTCACATTTTTCCTCCAAATGGGAGGAGGAAGTCCCCTGGATGAGAGAGGAGCAGCTCAGACCGCTCCCTGCTCTGCTCCGTGCTTCTCTGGTGTCTGGCCCTGCCTGACTCCACCTGGGGTGGGACCAGCTTGTGTGGAGAAAGAGCCCTGGTGGCCTGTCCTGAATTCGGCTAAATCGAGCTGCCAGTTGAAGTGAAGCCTAGGTTGCAGGGAAATAAGCAGAGAGGGAACCTCGGGGCCGACTCTTGAGCTGTTTCCTGGCTCTGAAGTCATCGGCTGTGTGAGGCTGTGGACACAGCACTAGGACACAGCACAGAGGAGAGTGAGTGATGCACACTTGGAGAAATAGGGAGATTCACCTCTGGGACTCTGCATGGCAGGAAACGGGCAATACCAAAAAGTGTGTATTTATAGAGTATAAGACTACCAGGACACTATTTATATATCTAATATAAGGCTTATCATTAACTATTTCTAAGTGTGCAATTTAGTGTTGTGTAACCATCACACTATCCATTTCCAGAACTTTTTCCTCCTACCATTAAACTTCTGTACCCAATAAACAGTAACTCTTACTCCTTCTCCCCCTAACCCGTAGCATTCACCATTCTACTTTCTGTCTCTATGTAACTGGCTATTATATCTTTTATAAATGGAAGTATGTAATAATTACCCTTTTGTATCTGGCTTATTTCAGTTAGCATAATGTCTTCAAGGTTCATCCATTTTGCACGATGTATTGGAATTTTATTCCTTGTTAAGCTTGAATAACATTTCTTTTTTTTTATTATTACTATACTTTAAGTTCTAGGGTACATGTGCATAACGTGCAGGTTTGTTACATATGTATACTTGTGCCATGTTGGTGTGCTGCACCCATCAACTTGTCATTTACATCAGGTATAACTCCCAATGCCATCCCTCCCTCCTGCCCCTTCCCCATGATAGGCCCCGGTGTGTGATGTTCCCCTTCCCGAGTCCAAGTGATCTCATTGTTCAATTTCCACCTGTGAGTGAGAACATGCGGTGTTTGGTTTTCTGTTCTTGCCATAGTTTGCTGAGAATGATGGTTTCCAGCTGCATCCATGTCCCTACAAAGGACACAAACTCATCCTTTTTGATGGCTGCATAGTATTCTGTGGTGTATATGTGCCACATTTTCTTAATCCAGTCTGTTACTGATGAACATTTGGGTTGATTCCAAGTCTTTGCTATTGTGAATAGTGCCTCAATAAATATACATGTGCATGTGTCTTTAGAGCAGCATGATTTATAATCCTTTGGGTACATACCCAGTAATGGGATGGCTGGGTCATATTGTACTTCTAGTTCTAGATCCTTGAGGAATTGCCATACTGTTTTCCATAATGGTTGAACTAGCTTACAATCCCACCAACAGCGTAAAAGTGTTCCTATTTCTCCACATCCTCTCCAGCATCTGTTGCTTCCTGACTTTTTAATGATTGCCATTCTAACTGGTGTAAGATGGTATCTCATTGTGGTTTTGATTTGCATTTCTCTGATGGCCAGTGGTGATGAGCATTTTTTCATGTATCTGTTGGCTGTATGAATGTCTTCTTTTGAGAAATGTCTGTTCATATCCTTTGCCCACTTTTTGATGGGGTGTTTGTGTTTTTCATCCACAGCCATCTGATTTTGACAAACCTGACAAAAACAAGAAATGGGGAAAGGATTCCCTATTTAATAAATGGTGCTGGGAAAATTGGCTAGCCATAAGTAGAAAGCTGAAACTGGATCCTTTCCTTACTCCTTATACGAAAATTAATTCAAGATGGATTAGAGACTTAAATGTTAGACCTAATACCATAAAAACCCTAGAAGAAAACCTAGGTAATACCATTCAGGACATCGGCATGGGCAAGGACTTCACTAAAAGCAACAGCAACAAAATCCAAAATTGACCAATGGGATCTAATTAAACTAAAGAGCTTCTGCACAGCAAAAGAAACTACCATCAGCGTGAACAGGCAACCTACAGAATGGGAGAAAATTTTTGCAATCTACTCATCTGACAAAGGGCTAATATCCAGAACCTACAAAGAACTCAAATAAATTTACAAGAAATGATCTGTTTCTGCTTGAATCTGCCTCTAGGTGGGGACCACGTGACTGGCTGAACCATTAGTCATGGGTATGGATGAGGTCAGCCGGTTGCCAGAATGCAAAGAATGAGAAACATCTCAAAAGACCAATCTCAGGTTCTACAATAGTGATGTTATTTATAGGAGTAATTAGTTACAAATTTTGAAAACTCTGGCCAAATGACATTTGAGCAGTAAGGGATTATAAAAACTGTGCCTACATTTTAGCAGAATTCACTTCCCTCCTATAATCTTACTCTCATGGTCTTTCACCAGTTTTACAAAGGCAATCCCTGGGCAAAAGAAGGGTATTAGTGTTATGGAGGAACTATTATCATTCTTGCTTCAAAGTTAAACCATAAACTAAATTCCTCCCATGGTTAGCCTGGCCTATGTCCAGGAATGAGTGAGGACAGCCAGCCTGAGACTGGATGACACATGTATTCAGCCATGCTAGTTTGCTGTCACTGTTGTAAACTTTGCACTGACTCACCAGGGTGTCATAGGTTGGACAGGCCTGCGGTGCCCAAAGCCTATGGGCTCATTTCACCCATTTCACTCGTGACTCCATCCTCAACCTACTATGGAGTTCACATTCTCCAGTCATTTCCTAGAGATTTCTGGTTTCCTTTCAGGTCTATAACATGCCTGAAATTTGTCACTCGGTTCTAATAGTAAGTAAAAAGCTACCAAACTCAAAAGTCAACAACTCGTTAAAATCCCTAAGAGATGGCCGGGCACAGTGGCTCATGACAGTAATCCCAGCACTTTGGGAGGCCGAGGCGGGCGGATCATGAGATCAGGATATCAAGACCATCCTGTCTAATACTGTGAAACCCCGTCTCTACTAAAAATACAAAAAATTAGTCGGGCGTGGTGGCGGACGACTGTAGTCTCAGCTACTGGGGAGGATGAGGCAGGAGAATGGGGTGAACCCGGGAGGCGGAGCTTACAGTGAGCTAAGATCGTGCCAGTGCACTCCAGCCTCAGCAACAGAGCGAGACTCCGTCTCAGAAAAAAAAAAAAAAAAAAAAAAAAAAAAAAAAAATGGGCTGTTAGAGAAATGAAGAATGCTTTTGATGCTTACTGGTAGACTGCACACAACTCAGGAAGGAATCCCTAGCTTGAGGATGTGTCAATAGAAACTTCCAAAACTGAAACAGGAAAGTTCAAAACGAGTGGGGGAAAAAAAAGTGGAACAACATATTAAACTTCATATTTAATATTTTGTGTTGACAATCGCAATTTTTCAATTTTGTAGTTGTGGGACAACTACCAAGGCTGTAACTACCAAGGCACGCAATGGGAATACTGGTGGTTTCGGGGACCTCTTGGAGGTAGCCAGGTGGCTGCTACCTGATGGTTTTACTGCCTGTGCTACAAACCATTATTTCATCATTATAATGCCATTTTCATAAGTTGGGGTTCTTCGTGTGGGGGACACATGAGCCACTGGCTTCTCACTTAGACTCTTCCTAATTCACACAATCTTAAACACTAGTTGTATTTTCTGAGGTTAACAGAAAATGAAGAAAGCACTTCAAATACCTGTTTTGGGCTCCTCCAAATTTTTCCTAACTCTGCACAGAAATTAGAAGCAGGGAATTCTTTCTATATTTACTAACATAACACACATCACTTCTTTTAATTCAGCATCATTCCTCCTTTTATGTAATTGACACACTGACCAGTTCTGCCCTTTTAATGGGACTCTCTCTACTTAAGGAGTTGCTCATTTCAAATCACCTTTGATATCTTTCTTTGAGCATAATGTGATCCTGCAGGAATTCACGGCACACCTAAAACTTAATTTGTACTCAGGAGAAATACTACTACCAGCAATTGATCTTAGATATTTGGACCATCAGTAAAAATTTCCACTTATGACAACATTTAATGTTTCCTCCAAATTTTGCTATTGTTGTTGTTACTGGAGTCAGAATGTAGCATGAGGTCTAAATTCCTGACAACTTTTTATGGGAAAATTACAGTATTACAAATTGAGCATCCCAAATCCAGAAATCCAAAATCTGAAATGCTCCAAAATCCAACACTTCTGAAAACTGATGTGATGCTAAAAAGAAGTGCTCACTGGAGCATTTTGGATTTTAAATTTTTCAGATTTGGGATGCTAAACCAGTACATCTACTGCAAATATTCCACAATTGAAAAGAAGTTAGAAATCCAAAACACTTGGTTTTAAGCTTTCTGCATAAGGAACACTTTATCTGTATGAACTACAGGCATGAAGCTGCACAGGAAATCTCTAGGTCCTCCTCATCCTGCATAACTGAAACTGCACACTCACAGAACAATGCCCTATTTCCCAGACCCCAGCTCCTGGAAACTACTGTTCTACTCTCTGATTCACTCTGGAATCCACTGAGATGAGGTACATAGAGTAGTCAAACTCATAGAATCAGAGAGTAGAATGTCTAACGAGAGAAAGTATCTGCAACACTTCTTCCCAAATATTGGTCTATATCCACCAAACATATACGGACCATGAGGGCCAGACTTCTGTCATCAGTTCATGTTCGCCCTTTCCACCTGTCAGTTCTCCATTTTCAAACTTCCCCATGTATTTCTAGAAAGATCCACATAGTCCTCACCTGCCCTCTACAGGGAGAAGGGAACATCATGGACAGAGAACAGGGAACATGGTCTTGTTCCAAAGCTATCAGAGCTTGCATGTCCCCTTCACTCCTTGTACATCATTCCTTGGACTCTGCTCTATCTTTAGAGGTCACTGGCTCAAGTCAGTTCACTATGAGACAGCTGGGAAAGTGCCACAACTTGTAGCTCCACTCCCTGATGACTGAACTGACCTCCAGGCTTGACTCTGGTCTCCCCTGTGTTATTTCTGCTGAAGTACTCAGTCCCAGGCCAGGCTTGCCAGTACCCAAAGGGTTTAAGGACATTGGGAAGTTCCATCATCCATCTCTAGGATATCCTTGGAAGGGGAAGCTGAAGAGAAAACATACCCTAGGGGGCAAAGTAAGACTGAAACTAAAAAGATTCCAGCACTACATGCTCCAGGTGAGGATCACAGAGTGGGCCAGGCAGGCAGTTGGAGAGGGAGAGACTCAGAGAGGCACCAGGTGCTGTGACTGCTGGTCCCATATTTTTCCATGACCCAATGCCGCTGCTCAATTCACATTTGGGAAAGTCTGTGCTTCTCCCACATACAGAAGGCAGCCTCACAATCTCTGAGCCCTCAGATTGCCATGCATCTGCCTTGTAACACATACACCTGCCATGGACTTTTAGGGACATGGGTGTGCTGAGAGATAGGAAATGCCAACTCTGATTGAAAAATGTCTTAGGAGGAATCAAACGTGCCGCACAGTACAATCTTCTCTCTGTTATCTCCACAGTGGAGACTTCCAAGCCCTCCATCTCCAGCAGTAATTTAAACCCCAAGGAGGCCACGGAGACTGTGGTCTTATCCTGTGATCCTGACACTCCGAACGCAAGCTACCTGTGGTGGATAAATGGTCAGAGCCTCCCTATCAGTCCCAGGTTGCAGCTGTCTTAAAACAACAGGACCCTCATTCTACTTGGTGTCACACAGTATACTGCAGGACCCTATGAATGTGAAATGAAGAGCCCAGTGAGTTCCAGCCGCAGTGACCCAGTCACCCTGAATCCCGTCTGTGAGTATCTTCTGTTCCTCTGTGAGCCAGGCTGCCATCTCAAATACATATGGCCAGAGGCCAGGCCTCCCAGTCCCTCTCAGGGGCAAGTACAAAGACCTTTACCCCTGCACATCAAAGCTGGCCATGACTACAAAGAGTAGGCTTCAGCTTGATCAACAATGGGAGAGAAGAGGCTGCTCCTGTCACAGGAGACTCAGGGTCCACAGCTTATGATGGGAGAAACAGGGGAATGTCTCAGGCTCCAGAACAGTGAACACAGCAAGGATTTGGCTGGGATTTCAGTGTTGTGACTAGGCTCACAGGGTCACTGTGGCCTTTCCACAGACCAGGATTTTCCCTTCCCTCTGACAACATCAGCTGTGACTTTATTCTCTTTGCTCCAGATGGCCTAGATACCCCCACCATTTCTTCTTCATACACCTATTACCATCCAGGGGAAGTCCCCAAGCTATCCTGCCTCACAGACTCTCACCCACTGCCAGAGCTTTCTTGGCTGATTGATGGGAAATTCCAGTAATCCAGATAAAGAACAAAGTGTTCTTTATCCCCCAAATCACTAAAACATATGGAGGGGTCTATGTCTGTTTCATGCATAACTCAGCCACTAGTGGAACGAATGTCATAATCAAGAGGATCATAGTCCCTGGTAAGTGGATCCCTGGAGCATTGCCAATATGTTTTCCAGTGAAGTCTCTCTGGCTATTAGGGAAGAGCCAACTGCCCTCTGCAAAGGGAGAGGGAAAATCTAAAACCCAGGACAGGGAATATGTTTCTGCTCCAAAACCACCAGCTTTTGCCTGTACCCTTCACTCCTTCTACATCATTCTTTAGACTATACAGTAACAATGAACAATCTGAAAGAAAATTAAGAAAAGAATTTCCATTCACATTAACATCAAAAGGAATAAAATATTTTGGAATAAGTTTAACCTAAAAGGTCTACGGGTTATACCTTGAAAACTACAAAACATTACCGTAAGAAATTAAAGACAACATCAATATATGCAAAGACAATTCATTCTCACTGATTGGAAGAATCAATATTGTTAGGAAGACAATATTACT